GAATGGCTGAGCAAGTTGTGGTATAGGATTGTGATGGAATACTATTGTGCTTTAAGAAATGATCAGCAGATTTTTTTTCTTCTGTTGTGTTTTGTTTCCTCTTCCTGGTGGTTCCTCCTATTGGTTCTAATTCTTACTTACAACATCACTAATGTGAAAATATGTTTAATAGGAATGTATACGTATAGCCCATATCAGATTGTGTGCCATCTCGGGGAGGGTGAGGAGAAAAATTTTAAACTCAAAAGCATATGGAAGTGATTATTGATAAATCAAAATTAATTAATTAAAAAAGAAAAAGAAATGATCCACAGGATGCTCTGAGAAAAACCTGGACAGACTTACATGAATGATACAAAGTGAAATGAGCAGAACCAGGAGAACTTTGTACACAATAACAGTAATATTGTATGATGATCAATTGTGAACATCTTAGCTATTCTCAGCAATACCATGATCCATGGCAATTCTGAAGGACTTGTGATGAAAGTGCCGTCCATTTCCAAAGAAAGAACTGATAAAGTCTGAATGCAGATTGAAGCATACTTTTTTTTAACTTTATTTTTCTTGGGGTTTATTTTGGTGTTTTTTTCCCACAACATGACTAATATGGAAACATATTTTACATGACTGCATATCTATAACCCATATCAAATTGCTTGCCTTCTCAATGAGGGGGGAGAGGAGGGAGGGAGAGAATTTGTAATTCAAAATTTAAAAAAACGTTAAAAATAGTTTTTACATGTAATTGGGAAAAAATAAAATACCAAACAGAAATGCAAAAAACAAATAAGAAAGGAAGAAAGAAAGAAAGGAAGAAAGGAAGGAAGGAAGGAAGAAAGAAAGAAAGAAAGAAAGAAAGAAAGAAAGAAAGAAAGAAAGAAAGAAAGAAAGAAAGAAAGAAAGAAAGAAAGAAAGAAAGAAAGAAAGATAAAAGACAGGGAGGAATGAAGGAAGGAAGTGTTATAAATGAGCCCACCAAGCCCCCTCCCTAACTACAGCAAGGCTCAAGTTCCAGGCCCAATAATTAAAGAAGATTCATGTATTACTTTTCTTTCAAGAAGCAGGGGCGTTCCCAGTAAAGAAGTGCAGCCAATACATAAGTGAGAGCGAGCTTTATACTGTTAACCCGGCGCAGCCCCTCCCTTCAGAGCTCGGATTGGTCCGAACTCTTCCAGGTTACAATCTTTTCGAACCACTCATCTCATGTTCCTCCTCAACATGTTTGTCCCTCCTTCATCCCACGTCCCACATTATGTGAAGGAGCAAAGTTCCCTCCCTTGGGGTGTGTCAGATAATACGTATGAGGGTAATTAAGCGTGTTAGCCCAAAGTTGGTGACTGCCCCTTGACCCTGGCCAGTCTGAGCTGGTTTCAGCCTGGGCCCCCTCTATCGGGAAGTTTTTGGTTAGACTGGCGTCCTCTTCTAAAAGCTGATTGGTTGGTGGTGAACAACTTTCTGGTACACCTTTTACACACTTACTCCTTGACATGTTTCTCCTCTTTCTTCAGACATCCCCTGCTCGGAAAATGGCGGGTCTTAGCCGCTCCCCGAGGTGGAGAAGCTAATATTTATAAGTCTAATAAGCATGCACACCCTAAGCAAAGCTGAACCTTTGTCCTACTTACTAACTTCTATCAGCAAAAAAAGATAAGACCAGCTTTATCCCATTTTACTTAGCTCCTTTTTAGTGGTTGTTTCAATCTTTTGGAACTTTTTGTTCTACTTGACTAACTTCTAATGGCAAAACAAGATAAGACCGGCTGTATCCTGTTTACTTAGTTACTTTTCTAGTGGTTGTTTCAATTTTATGGAAACAAATATTTTTATTACATCTCTCAGAAAGAAAGAGAGAGAAAGCCGGAAGTGCCCGAAGCCCTAAGAAATGGAAAAGATTTGAAGAACCTAGGGCTCTCAGCTCACCACATCTGCCCCACCTCTCACACAGGTCCACGAAGTGGATCTCCACCAATAAGGGAAAAATTCCATACCAATGGGCTTTGAGACTTAGGTTACATATTTTTCCAGATTTCAAGTAAATGAATATCTGGGGTGAGAGTACCTAGGTGACCGATTAGACTGAGATATGCATCAAAGCTATCTGAGAAGTCCCACGAGAAACCAGAATTGGTAGCCAAGTCTGTAGTAGCAGATGTCAGAGAAAGTTGCCACAGTCTAAAAACTTACTAATGTTCTTACGAGGCCATTTCAGTAAATCTCTTTGCTTTGAGCTGATTGTGTCTGTAGGTTGACTATTAAAGAAAAAAAGCACCCACGGCCGCTTATGAGCTATAATCTCAAGAGTACAGACCAGCACAATACTTTGCTGTCCCGTTGGGGTCCCAACCTGTGGGCAGAGTCGGCAGCGATGGCCCCACTGTAGTGGTGCTGTGCTACAGTCTAGACACTGTATATATTGTTCTCTTGCTCTGCTTTTTTACTTTGCCTCAATTTATACAGATGTTCCCATATCCCTTTGAATTCCTCATATCTGCCATTTCTTACAGCACAGTGATATTCCACAGCATTCATATACCATCTTTTTTTCAACCATTCCTGAATTAATGGAAACTCATTTTCCTTCTGACTGCTATCACAAAGAGAATATTTTGGCATAATATATACTACATAAGATAGGCATATAGGAAAGGACTAGAGAAAGTCCTCCTAGGAGCTGGAAACCTAAAGACACAGAACTGTCAGTGGGTGAGTGAGTGAGTGAGTGTGTGTGTGTGTGTATGTGTGTGTGGTGGGATTGAAGGGGCTACAGCGAAAGATTGACCTTAGCACAGCCAGAAGTGACCTTGGGGAGTAGTAGACAAGATTAGACAAATTCTGTGGAAGCCTTCAAGGAGTTGGCTCCTCCCTATTGTACAACCACATATTTTTTCCCAGAATCAGAATCAGACGAATCCACTCTAGAGCCCTGAATGTAATCAATCAATCAATCAGTGAGAATCGACGAAGTCCCTTCTACATGCAGGAGATGTGCCGGACACTGAGTATACAGACAAAAAAAAATTAGAGTCTAATTCTTCCAAAGTAATTATCCAGTGTTTCAAGGAGCATTTAGACCAGGCAGGGACATTAATAGATAAATAAAATAGTTTTACTATTGCAGGCACCAGAAACAGGCTATATGGAGCACTCAGAGCTCAGTCAGACATCAACTGATGCCACCCACTTCATCCTGAGCCATCGCCTATTGTTCTGACCTTTGTCCTGCCACTGGACTTTGAACACTGTGGAGGAGAGAGTGAGGCTGATGACTTATGCAACTCTGCCTCACTGAAATCCAAGTTACACACAAGTTAAAAGACATCACTCATACCGTTTTTACCATTTCTACCCACCTCAAAGTCCCGTGGCAGCACCTAGCGACATCCACAGGTGCGGTCACACTAGAAGCCATAGTCACAACCCTGCACACAGGCGGCCCAAGCCACTGGGTCGTCTTCTCACTGAAAGCAGCAGAGGGATTTGGCAGCCTGTGGGTGTCTGAGCAGCCTTCTTAAGGACCGAACTGCTCACCTCCTGGTGTGAGGAAGAGGCTAGAAAAGGTGCCCTCAAAATTGTGTGCTTTGCCTGCTTACTGCAGCAGGCAGGGAATCCCACCCTGTGGTCAAAACACCAAAAAAAAAATTGCAAAAACTTTTCCAAAGATGATTCGACTCACCATCGGTAGGTGGAATGTGCCCACACTTATGGACAGCATGAAATCAGGCACACCTGAAAGCGTTAAAGGTTGTTAAGGCGTCCCATGAACTTGTCTTTTTGAGTTGCTATGTTTTCCAGAAACACTGGACCCATGGGGCAGCTAGGTGGCGCAGTGAATAGAGCTCTGGTCTTAGAATCGGGAAGACCTGAGTTTAAATGTAACCTCAGATAATTAACACGTACTAGCTGTGTGACCCTGGGCAAGTCACTTAACCCTGATTGCCTCACCAAAAAGCAAAAACAAAAATACAAAAACAAAAACCAGAAACACTGGACCCAGAGCATGCAGGAGGCTCTGGATGTGTGGAGGACGAAGCTCCCTCTGAGCTGATATAATTCGTTGTTGCACCCCAAGCTGGACTCCCTGTGCATCCTTGGGAGGCAAGACAGGCTTCAGCCAGTCTGTGCCAGGCTGGGATAATGCTTGTGCAGCTGGGGTCCTCCCAGACGAGCAGACCCTCCTATCTTCATGGTCTGGCAGTTCCCACGGGAAGGAATGCAGCTCTTACCTGGCTCCTCCTGGTGAGGCACGGTCTTGCCTTTTTCCCACCTCTGCTGCCCAGCTCCCTCTCCCATGTCCTGCCCCTTCCTGATATCCCCTCCTTCCTTTGTCCTGCTACTAAAAAAATGTAAACTTCTGTGAGGACTGGGAACTCTTCCGGCTCTGCTTGCATGTTCATTTCTCTGGTAGTAAGCCTGGCTTTCACAGAAGTCTCCTGACGCTGTGATTGCCTGTTGACAATACACATTTGTTTGCATGTTGTATCCTCCACTAGATTGTCAGCTCCTCGAGGGCAGGGGCTATCTTTTGCCTCTTTTTGTGTGCTTAGCACAAAGTAAACATGTAGCCTGGCACGCAGTAGGTGCTTAATAAATGTGAACTGAATTGAATCTAGAGATTAGTAGGTGAGAGACGAGTGCAGAGGACAATCTGCTGGATGGGAATAAGGTGACAAAGGGAAGTCTTGGCCTTATTGGGGTCACTCACGGGTCCGCGTCTGGAATAAAGCCTGAGTCTGGGGTGGCCCCAGCCCGCACACTTCGAGCCCTCCTCAGCTCCCCTCAGCAGGAGGTCCCTGGGGGGGGTGGGGGCACCCAGGATTGGAGCCTGGCTTGCAAGCAGCTTCCACAGGAGGACGGGACAAAGGGGCAGTGGAGGCCCAACCGGGGCAGGCTAATGTTGAGACTGGGGACAGACTGAGGCTATGGCTCGGCTGGTTGTTAAATTTTCAGCGTGTCAGCATTTACACCTGAAATGAGCCGACCCTACAAATGGGGGCTTGTTTGATTGTTTTATTGATTTCTAGAAGAGAAAATGATGGAGAAAACTAACATTGCGGAATTCGGCCTACGTTTCGCAGGATGCATCTATGTGGCTACGCCGGGATCACGACCCCACGTTCCGCTGAGCCATTCACGGCAGGTCTTCCCACAGCGAAGGGCGGGGCGGGGCCGGAGCTCGTGGCCCCGGAAGTTGGGCAGGGCTTCTGGCGGAAGTGACCGCGTGTAAGAAAAGGGGCGGGGACGGGAACACTGGGCCGCGCCTCCACTTCCCCCTCCGCTCCGGCCGTGTGCGCGCGCGCGCTTGCTCTGCTGCGTGAGTGCGTGCGTGCTGGCGTGCGTACGCGGCCTTGGCGCCCTGGCGTCGGACTCGCCGGAGTCGGGCGTGTCCCGAGGCAGTCGAGGTCGCGTAGGGGCTGGGGCAGGTGCGGGAGGAGCGGGCCGGGCGGGGGCGTGTCCCGGGACTGCGGAGAAGCCGGGCCTGAGGCGCGAGGAGAGCGGTGAGCCCCAGGAGATGGGGGGGCGGGGAAGGGGGGGGAAGAGAGGACACGTGACCCTGCGGAGCGGGCACGTGATCCTGCGGGAGAGGGCACGTGACCGTTGGGGGCGGGAGCGGCCGGGCGGCGCTGACACCTGCGGCCGTCCGGTGCCCGGCTTGGGGTCTTTTGGAGGGGAGCGGGGGGAGGGAGGGAAACGAATGTTTGTGACACTTTGGGGTCTTGCTCCCAGACCCTCCACCGATATCACGAGAGCAGCCTGTAAACAGCAGTGAAGTGGTGGCTGATCATGACGATAGCTACGGCGGGTATGGCGCCTGCTGTGTGCCAGGCGCCCTCCATTATCGCCGGTGAAGGCTGGCCGTAGTCGGTAGACGGCAACCCAGGGAATTCTGGGAAAGTGAAGCCGAGCAGGTTAGCGTCACTGAGCAGACCGGGCCCGACCCGAAGCAGGAACTTTGTTCAGTGCTCCCTTTTTGCATGCCGTGTGCAAACAAGCCGTTGCCCGTGAAGGATCGAATTTCAGGTTCTCTGAATGTTCTGGAAAGCTCACAATTGTGATAGTGACGCTTCTGCTAAACCGTCATAGAGGGGTCCAGGACCGCAATTATGGATTGGGGGGGCGGGTTCTGCGGTCTCAGAGCCATCTCATCAACAGCTGCCCCCGAAGCCTTTTTTACTGACCTTCTTTGGGCCCGCTTGTAGGGCTCTAGGTACATCTCTATTTAATTTCACCCTCCTGACTTTGGTCTGTTGTTCTCGATCACTAAAAATTGTTTGGGAGCCCTGATCCTTTCAGCTTGGTCCTTCCCAATTTTGAGTCATCCACAAATTTGCTCATCACGTGAGGAAGCTCCTCCATGAAAGACCTTGATTAAAATATTGGACCTAATGGGCAAGTACCTCCCTGAGGCAGTCCCCTGAAGAGCTTGGCATTGACCCGTGTGTATACAAGGTGTCCCAAAGGTCTTAGGGCAGTGTTTAGCGGTCAAACCATTAAAGCTTAAAACTGCACTAAAATTTTTGGGACAGGTGTGAGCATGCCACACTTGTGGTATGCTTATTCAACCAGTCTACATAAGTGTATTGCTAACAATTTATATAATCACATTTTTCTACCTGCATGTCTCCAAATAGTTCAAGGAGAAACTTTAAAAATAATAATAGCTATCATTTGTAGAGTGCTTGAAGCTTTGCAAAGTGCTTTACATATGTTATCTCATTGAATCCTTAGAACAATCCTATGAAGTAGGCACTATTGCTATCTCCATTTTGCAAATGAGGAAACTGAGGCTGAGAAGTAAAGAAACTTGCCTAGGGTCGCACATCTAGTAAGTGACTAAGGCAGGATTCAAACTCAGGTCTTCCTGGCTCCCAAGACCAGTGTTCTTTCTACTTTGTGGCCACCTATCTGCTTCAAGCCTTGCTGTAATACAGGTAACCTGTGGTTATAGCATTCTTCTTATCTATCAAATGAGTGTCCTGTCGAAAGGGAAGTATGGTTACTCTGTCATGCATCACAGACTGTCTAAGTTGGAAGAAACCTCAGAGGTCATTGGATCATAGATTTAGAGTTGGAAAGGACCTCTGAGACCACCTATATGTCTCAATGGAGTCCTTCCACACATCTCTGACAAGTGATGTGACATCCTCCACCTGAAAATGTCCAGTACCGGGGAACCTGCCGCCTGGAAAGGCGGCCTTGTACTACCTTCTGTGTCCAAGCACAACAAACCAAATATTTTTATCTGTCATGCACAGCCTGAATCTTCTCTTCTGAAACTTAGCATCCCCAGTTCTGTCAACTGATGGTCACGTCCCCAGGCCCTTTTCCATCCTGCTTGCCCTCCTCAGGAAACTCCAGCCTATCAGGATCCTTTCCAAAATGTATCCTTTCTAAAAAAAAAAAAGAATATACATATATACATATATATATATATATATATATACACACACACACACACACACATATATACACACACACACACACACACACACATAGTGCCCAGAATGGAACACAGTATTCCAGATATAATCTTGGTGGTGATATGGCCATATTTCAGTGGTGGCGCTTACAGTCTACTAACACCCCAGAGTTTTGTTTGAGACAAACTGCTTACTGTTCCCCCATGCCTTGCCATCTTTTCTTTTCAAGCTGATTCCTTTGAACCCAGATGTAAGACTTTACTTTTATTCCTGTTAACTTTCATAACCTAACATTTGTCCCAAGTCCTTGGTTACCAATGCTAAACACAGAAGTCTGAGTCAAGCCATTATGATGTGCCTTTTTTACCCACTATCTCTAAAACCTCCCTTTAAAAAGTCCTTTGTGGGGGCAGCTAGGTGGCGCAGTGGATAGAGCACCGTCCCTGAAGTCAGGAGGACCTGAGTTCAAATCTGACCTCAGACCAAACACTTGACACTTACTAGCTGTGTGACCCTGGGCAAGTCACTTAGCCCCAATTGCCTAAAAAAAAAAAAAGGGAATAAAAAGTCCTTTGTGAACCTCAGTAAATTCAGCTTGTTCTGAATTTTTGTTCTCCCAACATTATTCTTTTATTTTTGTGTTCATCATTTGGTACCTCCTGTTATTTCTTCTGTCTCCTGAACCTGAGTTGATCAGTGAATTCCCTGTCATCCACATTGGTCTTCCTAGCCAACTTCCCCTTTTCTTCTCTATCAGAATCATTTCCCTTTGTGTTTTCAGGATTTCGTTTTTTCTTATCCCCTATTTCTTCCTAGCTTGACTCTTCTGTAGAATTTTAGTCCATGGAATGCTACCTTTCCTCTTTCACAGATTCTAAGATTAATAAGCAATTTTTCTCCAAGGTTTCCTTTACTTCCACATGAGCAACACATTTCTTTATATTTGTAAGAATCATGTCCAGAAATGAATCCTATTGGTTCTTTTACTTTTCGAGGATGAAATAGCAGAGAGAGCCCCAGCAAGCATCTGGATAATTGAAATCCCCACTCACTACCCTCTCTCAGGCCTCTTTGCCAGGTTTGTGAGTTCCATGTGCCTCTCCACATTGGTCTGTTTCAGATAGGTGCACCTTTTCTTCTATCTACATTTTTTTTTAAATGTAGCCCTTTCCCCACACAGTGTAATTGGTTTTCCCTTAGGCTCTCTTACCACCAGCTCTGTCCTTAGACCTTCAGGCTGGTCTGATCTGTGACTTAACCACTGAGTTTCGATGCTGTGTCTGAACTGAATTTTCTGGGGGGATGTTTGAGGGTTGGCAGCCTCCAGCTGTTTGTTTCTCACAGCCCTCAGGCATAGAAGCTATTCCCCAGGGGAATCTTACACACCATACATGAAGGACCACTTGTGTTGTCTCCTAAGTCGGGGGGGGGGGGATGGGGGGCGCGGCCTACATGTGAAAGAGGGAGTTAGTTGTTGTCTGTCTCTCTCTCCCCCTCCCTCTGTTCCCCCCTACTCTCTCCCTCTCTCCCCTCTTCCCTTTTCTCCCCCCCTTACTTCTCTCTCTCCTCTTTCTCTCCCTGTCTCCCTCTGATGTATCCTAACTTCTACTTCAGTTTTCCTCTTCCAGATCTTCTATGTGCAGAATCTAACTTCTAAGCCAGTTTGAGCGGGAGTTGAGTCTGCTTTGTGGTTTCTGCTTTGGGAAGTGGGGGGAGCCCAGTCTCTTTCTTGTCCCCACATCTAGCCCGCCCCATAAGCTCTCCCCTGAAAACATTTGTGCCATCCTGGACTTAAGCCAGTGGGTCTTTGCCCCTGACTTTCACCTATCAAAATACATTCATGTCTTTTATCTCATTTTGTCCTGGTGAGAAGCCATTATGCAAGTGGGGCAGTGGCTGAATCATCATTTTATATATGCAGAGCAAAACCAAGTGACTTGTTTAGCCCCTGGGGACAAAGCTAGGGCTAGAATCCAAGCCTCCTTGATAATCGCTAACATTTGTATGGCACTTTAAGGATTGCAAAGCACTTTACAGTTATTGTCTCATTTCACCCTCACTGCAGTGTAATGAAGTAGATACTTTTGTTACCCCTATTTTGCAGATGAGAAAAAGGCTGACAGAGGGTAAGTGACTTGCCCAGGGTCATACAGCTAGTAAATATCTGAGCCAGGACATGAACTCAGTTCTTCCTGACTCCAAGTCTAGCATTCTGTAATATTTCACCCAGCTGCCTTACTCCTAGTTATTCGCCTTTTTCTATAATGCTCCACTGCAGCTCTGTTAATGAGGCTTAAAAAAACCAAACAGATGTTTCCACATCCTGTTAGCCCCACAGTCTTTATTTTTTTGTATATAGATTTTTGTGGATTTTTTATTGTTGTTTTCACATCACCTCAGTTTCTCCCAGTGTTCCTTCTTCTTTCTTCTCCCAGAAAGCCATCCATTATAACAAAGATTTTTTTTAAAGAGAAAAAATAATTTAGCAATACTGGCCAACATATCAAAACAAATCTGCCGGCATATACAGTGTTCTACACTCAAGGTCTCCAGCTTCTGCAAAGCAGCAGGGGAGGTGTCTGTCCTATCTCTTCTTTGGGACCAAGGTTGAACATTACGTGGCAACATTCAGTTTTGATTATTTGGTGTTTTTTGTTCTTTCCATTTACCTCGTGGAGGTCATTGTGTCTCTTGTTTTCCTGGCTCTGTTGACTTCACTTTGCGTCATTCACGTAAGTCTGTCCAGCCTTCTCTGCATTCATTGGGCTCATTATTTCTGATGGCCCAGGCATATTCTGTTACTTTCCTGTCCTGCAGTTGGTTGAATTCTGCCCAGTCCTTGGGTTTCTGCTTTGTTTCCAGTTCTTGGCTACTACAAAAAGTGCTGCTAGGAATATTTTGGTATATACAAGACTCCTTGGGCTCTATGCCCAGCAGTGGAATCTCTGGATCACGTGATGTGAACCTTTTCGATCTCTTTATTTGCATAATTCCAAATTGCTTTACAGAATGGTTGTAATAATTCACAATTGCCCCAGTGTTACGTTAGCGTGTCTGTCTGTTCCCAAACCTCTAACACTGACTGTTCCTTTCATTTCAGTAATCTTATTCCCACCTTCTTCCTCCCTCATTCCTAAGGAGGTCAGGCTTGATCCAGCCTTTCCGCTCTCCAGCTAGTGCATGATGTAATTTTTGTTGTAGCTAAGCCAGGACCAGACCTCCGAGGTCTTGTTTTTCATATGTCCTAAAGCAGAGACTCTAGCTCCTTATATAGTCCTTGTCGCAGTCATTGTGTCTGTGGTTTTCCTGGTTCTGCTTTCTTGACTTCCATCGTAGAAGTCTTCCCATGTTTCTCTAAATTCTCCATGCTCACTTTTAATTAAAACACTCTAACATTCCATTACATTTATGTAGTATAATTTGTGTAGCCATTCCCTAGTCAGTGAACATCTGCTTCGTTTCCAGTTTTTTGCTACCACAAAAGATGCTGCTGTGAATATTTTGGTGTACGTGGAACTGCCTTTCTGTCCCTGACCTTGTTGGGGCATGTGTTTGGCTTTGGAATGTCTGAGTGAAATAGTATGGACAGTTTAGTCATTTGCTTTCTGTAATGGTTGGAGTGAGTCATGTATCAATGTGTCTGTCTTTCTGAAGCTCTCTACGTGGACCCTTCCCAACTTTTGTCGTCTTTGTTCATTTTCAGTGTGTGCGGGGGAACCTCAGAGCTGAGACCTTTATCATTTCATCTAGTTGTGACCTAGTCCAGTCTCCTGGCCACAGTGGCTGGAGCCCTCCTTACGTCCTGTCTGAGCAACAGTGGCCCCAGAAGTAAGTGTTCTGATGCTCTTTTCTCTCAACTGAGCCTCCTACTCTGTGGGCCACATGTTTGCCAAGAGCTGTCAAACAGCTTTTTCCAAAGAATTCAGCAAACTCATTTTTTCACATATCATGTCAGCTAATGACTGGACTGAAAATTTTGTTTCATTAATAGGTAGTTGAGACACAAAGAGACTGATTTGCACACTCAGCATCACACAGAACCTGAAAATTCAACTGGCATGTCCCAATTCTGCAGCCAGAGTTCAGTCCCGTGGTACCTACTACATGACCAGAGGGGCAGGTTTGGGGCCCTGAGGATTCTGATTCTAGGCTGCCTTTCGATCTCCGACTCTGTAGGGATCCTGGGTCTCTCACATCTTGGCTAGAGTGTTGTCATTTCACCCTGATGAATTTGGAACCGCCAGGCACGGATTGGTCTCCTTCATGAATTCTTTCTTTTCCTTCAGTGCTGGGTTCTCCAGATTCTGCCCTTCCCCAAGAAAGGGGAGTAGAGGAGGAGGGAATGACTTCTGGGCTCCTGATGGCCAGGTCCCTGGTGAGTTATGGTTTCTTCTCTCTCCTGACATTCCGCTTTGTTCCTCTTTCCCTTTTCCCCTGGCCCCTCCACTCTCAAGTCCTGTTCGGGGATGACCAAAGCCTTGAATGGTCTCTTTTTAATGGCTCTGGCTACATGGACTTCATAGAGCTCATGGATGTTAGGACTAGAGTCCAACCCTCTTCTCTGACATAACGGTAAACTGAGGTCCAGGGAAGTAAAATGTTTCATTCAGAGTCACCTGTTGCAGAAATTGTGTAAGATCTGAGGTCTCCACGCTCCTTGCCCTGTGTTCTTTCCATTCAGCCTCAGTATGTCAGAAGTGTTCCCCTTTTCTTAGTGCCCTTCTTTCTCCTGGGGATCATTTGCTTGTTCATTGAACCAGCTGTATACTGTGCTGAGCCAAATGCTGTGAAATAAACCAAGTCCTTATTGTTGGGGAGAAAAAATACATATCAGAAGAAAAAGTAATTATTAGGCATTTTTTCCAAATGGAAAGTCAGATCAGTAAGACTGTAATGGAATGGACAGTACGTCAAGGATTTGTGATTTGGCTGTTGGGGATCTTCTGTATTTATATAGACCCCAGCCCCCTGTATACCTTGGTAGCTAAGCCTCCAAGGGGTCACACAGCTGGTATGTATCTGAGGTCCCACATGGTGCACGTCCCCAGTCCCTCCTCTGACCTCTGGACACAGTGGAAGGAATTTGCACACAACTGTCCTGACCAGATACATGACAGATCTATTTTGCTCAGCCTCACCTAGGCCCCCACTGCCCCAAGGCAGAATGGAATCCCTGTCTCACTCCCCCAAAGCTATTCCAAACCTTCTCTTCCCTCCTGAAGCCTCCCTGTGCTTCCTGTCTCTCCTTCAGCTAGGACTTTCCCTGTCCCTTTATTTCTGAGACCATTTGATGGGGATGGGAGGGGAGCCGCTTCCTTTTTTCTATTTTTTTTAATCTCAAAACTCCTCAAGGGGCAGCTAGGTGGCCCAATGGATAGAGCATCAGCCCTAAAGTCAGGAGGACCTGAGTTCAAATCCAGCCTCAGACCAAACACTTGACAATTACTAGCTGTGTGACCCTGGGCAAGTCACTTAACCCCAATTGCTTAAAAATAAAATTAAATGAAATTAAAAAAAAAACCCTCAGCACAATCTGCCATTCTGTCCTCCTTTCCCCCAGACTCTTAACAAAGAGATCCTCCCATAATTATGTCAGAGTCATCTTCTGTGTGATCCCCCCCCATATGCCGCTAGCGTCTCCCTCCCAAACTTCCTTGTATCTCACTATTTTGTGTTTCTCAAGGCAGCCCCCGCTGCATGCACAACAGGTCCTGTTCCATGCCGTCATCACCAGCAGATTTCCCCTCTCATCCCCAGTCTCTCCCTTCTCTTCAGTCTCTCTCTGTTGGCTGCTTCCCTTCTCCCTACAAATGTGCCCATATCCCTCCATCCCCACAAAGCCCTCTCTTATGGCTCAGTGCCAGGAGAAGGCCGTCTACAACAGGTGCCTCCACTTCCTCTCTGTTCCAGACTCTCGGCAGTCTGCCTTAGGACCTCATCATTCAGCCAAAACTGCTGCCTCCAAGTTACCACCAATCTCTTCCTTGCCACATCCAGCAGCTTTTTCTCAGTCCTCATCCTTCTTGACCTCTCTGCAGCCTTTGACACTGGTGACCAGCCGCCTTCTCCTTGAGTCTTTGCTGGTTCTTCTCCTCTGTCTCCTTTGCTAGCTGGTCATCCATGTCACTCTCACGGTGGGGGTTCCTCGAGGGTCTGTCCTACACCCTCTTCTCCTTCCGTACTCATTCACTTGATGATCTCATCAGCTGCCATGGGTTCAGCCTGGACCGCCGGTCTCACATCTCTGATTGCCTGTTATACACCTTGAACTGAATGTCCTGTAGATACCTTAAATTCAACATGTCCAAAGCTAACTCCACAAACCCATTTCCAAACTTCCCTGTTACAGTCCAGGGCACCAGGCTCCCAACCTCCACGCCATCCTGGGATCCTCTCACTTCGTACCTCCCTCTGTCTGAACAGTTGTCAAGTCCTATTAAGTCTGCCATCGTAACGTCTCTTATAGGTGGCCTCTTCTTTGCTCTCGTGCTGGCGCTGCATGGCTCCTGATCGCTCATCGCCTCACAGCTGGACCATTTCGTGGTCTGCCTGCTACAAATCTCTCCTCACTCCAGTCTGTCCTCCACTCAGCTGTCCGAGCGATGATCCCAAAACCTAGGTCTGGCCCATCATCCCCCTCTTTATTAAATTCCCTATTATTCCATCCCCAGGATCAAATAAAAGACCCTCGCTTTGGCCCCCAGAGCCTTTCATAGCCTGACCCCTTCCTACCTTTTCTGTCTTCATACGCCTTCCTCTCTTCCACAATATTTCTGCAGTACAGCAAGATTGACCTTCTAGGTGTTCCCCAAACGAGACCCTCCAACTCTTGGCTCCCAGCGTGTTTCTGCCGAGAACACTCTGCCTGCTCGTCTCCACCTCCTGCTTCCTTCCAGGGTCAGTGACATCCCCCCTTCCCTACCAGGCCTTTCCTGGTCCTCCTCACTCTTACTGCCTTCCCAATTTATCCCGCTTGTGGTTTGCTTGGCCAGGGTTGTTTAATGTTGTCTCCCCCCATTAGATCATGAGCTTCTTGAGCACAGGGACTGTTCTTGCTTCTCTATTTACTCATCATCTCTCCCACTTAAACATAAACTTCTTGCAAGTAAAGAATGTCTCCTTGTATTTGTGTCCCCAGCACGTAGCACAGCCCCCAGCACATACAGCGTGCTTCGTAAATACCCGCTGCTTGATTGGTTAATAAGCAGTCCACACACAGTCCTCCTTTAACGCCTCTTGTTAGCGTGGAGTTGATTCTCAAGTTCTCAGATACAGTCTAGAATCACTTTGGAAGTAGGCCCTGCAACAGATGAGGTCTACCTTCCAAGCCTAGCCTGGCTCAGCATAGGGAAGGTCATCACCCAGGGACTGGCCAGTTGGACATCAAGGCTTTATCTGCCATCTGATTAAAGCAAGGAAAAAGTAAGATGATTCCTAGCTTACTTATGATGGAAAAAGAGTGGACTGAGAGAAATGATTATTTCTCTCTTAATAACCAATTAAAAGGGGGGGTGGGAATCCAGGTTTTTTCCTTTTTGTTTTCTCATCTCTCCCTTTAATTGGTTATTATTCATTCTCTCATTAATTGTTAACCAGTCAGACTTGATTTCCATCTGTCAGGAACATCCACTCTTCCAAGGGTGTATAAGCATGAGTGGCCTCCGTGATTCCTTTGGTTTATGAGAGAAAACCAAATAACTGTAATTTTATTAATTATCTGCTAGCCATAGTTAATAAAACTTGATTATTAATTACCCAGAAATTACATCTTTCAGACTTTTCATGTGTCGCAGGACAAAGAATCTCAGTTTGTTGTGATCTTTAAACATTAACTTATTTGTTGAGATTTCCAACTTGAGATCACACAATTTGAGTTGGAAGGGACCCCTCCCCCCAACCTCAAGAGGAATCCCCTTATTTCAGACCTGGCATGCAGCCTCTGCTTAACACCCCCAGTAACAACATGCTCTTGACTTTCTGTGGCAGCTAGTTGGGCTTTTGGACAGGGGTAAATGTAAGGAGATTTTGCCTTCTGTCAGGTTCCCATCTGCCTCTGCAGTTTTTCCCCTCCAGTCGTGAGTCTGTCCTCTGCTGCAGAAGAGATCATGTCTCATCCCTCTTCCACAAAGGCTGTGCGGAGTCTGGCTAGCTAGTGTACTTCACCTTTCTCCAGGCTAAACATTCCTAGATTCTTTAAAGGAGCCTCCCATCACAGGACCTCAAGCCCACACTCTCTCCTTGTCATCTTCCTTGGGAAGCTTTCCAGGTTTCTCAGGGCCCTGCTGTGGGCTCTGCCCAGAGTGCAGTACCACCAGACCCTCATAATAACCAGCATTTATGTTTGCACAGCACGTTAAGCTTGACTGAGTGCTCTACAGATATTATCTCATTTTATGTTCACAGCAACCTGGGAGGGAGATGATATTGTGATTCCCATCTTACAGATAAAACTGAGGCAAGCAGATTGTTCAGGGTCACACAGCTGGGTAGTCTCTTGAGGCTGGATTTGAACTCAAGTCTTGCTGATGCCTAGTCCTGGTCCAGCCACTGTCCACTGGGAAGCCAACTAGCTTCCCTAGCACACAGCTTCTGTTTAGAGAAGCAAAGGAGAATCCCTTTGGTGGTGTGCCAGAGTTAAAAAACATCATTAAATGGCACGCTTGGTCCTCTTGCCTTGCCGTGCTTGTGATCAGTGTTTGCCACCACAGAGGACCATAGGTCTGCCCTAGAGATGACAGACTTTAAGCCTCAGGAGGGCAGGGGTGTTTGATTTTTGTCTTTGCATCCCCAGCACCAAGCTCCGTGCCTGGCACCTAATAGTCGCTTCTTAAATGCTTACTGAACTGAGTCTGGCCCAGACACTTGCAGATGGGACAGGGAGCTCAGGCCTGAGTGCAGTATGACGAGAGTGGGCTAGAACACAGTAAGGAAGTGATGCCATGATTTAAACCATCCCAGGCTGTGCTGTGATGCAGAAACCCTCCTAGGACTGGTGGATGGAAGTGCCTACCTGGCATACTAATCTCTCTTATCAAGAAATTATGCTGAGATTAGAGCAGGTGGAAGCAGGCTCAGAGAAAGAGTGAGGGGTTCCACATGGATCCTCACTGGCAGGGAGGAGGGCTTGAGGAGGCCCCTTCACCCTGGGTCGACCTGCTTCTAAAGCCAGGATGCCTCTAAGCTGGCTCAGGTGCCTGGAGGGTTGTATCCCTTAGCAGACATGATACTTGTCTTTGGGTACTTGTAGGCGGTGGAAGAGGAGTCCCACCTTTCTTCTCTGCCCAGCCAGCCTGTCCATCATGGCGCTGCCTGAGTGGCCCTGCCCCAGAATTCTGCTTCATGCCCGTTGTGTGCTGTTCCTTCACTTGATAATTCATGCCAGAGGCTAGCATTCCCTAATCTTCCAATCTTATCTCTTTTCTCCCTTGTGAGCTAGACCGCAGGCCATCCTCCACTGCTTTGCCTGTATGGCTTGATTCCTGCTGTTTTCCAGGGCTCTGATGCCCTTCCTGCTCGCATTTTTGTCTCATTAAATTTCTCCTGTTCCTTAAGGTCCAGTAAAATGTAGTCACCATGAAAACTTAGTCTCACTAACTGCTCTCCTGATCCACCCTTCTGTAATGGGCGGATTTTTTCCCCCCTCTCCTCCTGCAACCAGCAGAATATATCTGTCTTCTGGACACCTGTAATAACGGAAGCAGTCATTTGGAAGAGAGAACAAGGTGATGTTCATTAGAGCTAGTGACACCTTACCATATACATATATCATATTAATTTTCTTTGTGGCCATCCTCTTTATTCTGCCTAAAATGTGTCAGTTGGGAGTGGGCCTTGCTTAACACGTGTGTCTGTTTAGAAAGGGGTTTTGATAGTGATTGCTGCTGTGACTGCTGACTCTGTGACAGTAGGGTTTTGCACAAGATGAGGCCTCTAGAAACTCTAGAGATGGCACATGCACAACTCCTAGAACCAGCCTGCTTCCTGTCACCCTCGTGTTCCGCCTCATGGATGGTTCCTGAGTGAGCAGAAATGTTGGCTCTTTCAGGAATCGGTGACGTTCCAGGATGTGGCTGTGGACTTCACCCAGGAGGAGTGGGGGCGCTTGGAGCCGGCCCAGAAGGACCTGTACAGGGAGGTGATGCTGGAGAACTACCAGAACTTTGTCTCCCTTGGTAAGGACAGCTTGCCCCTGTGAGCTGGCATCTGTCTGTTGGGCTAGCCTTGTGGCCTGGCTGAAGTGCCAAGCTGGGTTTTACCTTAGTGTTCAGGGATAGTCGTGAATGATGATGGTAATGGGGACCATGGCTGACATTTGTATTGTACTTCAGGGGTTAAGTTCTGGTTCCTTATTTGATCCTACCCCAAACCTGTGAGGTCAGTACTGTAATCATCCCCTGCAGTCATCCAGAGGAGGAAACCTCAGTTCCAGCGAGTCTGCAGATCAGCAGTCCTTTATAAAAGGGCTTCCATGTGCCAAGCATGAGAGACAGACACTAGATGTCTTTCCATTGGCCCCATACTTTAGGAGTGTCTGAGCAACTGTTTGAATACAGGTCTTCCCCGACTTTCCCAAGCATGGATTGAGTACGTCTGAGATGTAAGGCATTGTGCTCGGTGCTGAGAATACAGACTCACCAGTGAAAGAGTTCCTGCCTTGGAGGAGCTTATGTTCCAAGAGCGGCATGATGGCCGTGGCACCATGCTGCCTCTTTGCCCCTCTAGTAATGGGGGATCTCATTGTTGCTCTTTCCTGGCCCCAAGGAACAGTTTTAGATTTATGCAAGCAGAAATCCCAGCTTTGGGTTACTTCCTGTGTTGGGTTCCCTCAGGGCAGATATTTTCTCCTGAAATCCCAGTGCAGATCCCTGCACGCTTGAAAGATTTCCCTTCCTCTTGGCAGGATCAAAATAAACTGATTTTTTTGCTTCTGCAATGAAGGGGTGAGACCACATGGCCCTTACAGGCCCCTCCTATGGGCCCCTGCAGCTGGAAATCTCTGATCCCATGGACTCGGTGATCTGACCTCCATATTGCCTAAGAGCACCCTTGGTGTTAATCTCTGCCTGCCCCATTTTTGTTAAAGACAAAGGGGCTGCAGTGAATTTTGAGATGGATTTCTGTTCTCAGCACTTTGCTATTTCTTTCCCTACCAGGAGGACTGCCAGCCCCCAAACCTCATGTGATCTCCCAGTTGGAGAGAGGAGAAGCACCATGGATAACAGAGAGAGAAGCCCTGGGAGGCATTTGTCAAGGTGGGTGAGTGAGTGAGTGAAAGCAGACCGATTGTAGTCCTTGCCAGCAGGAACTTAGTCAGTAACGTTGGAGTCCCTTTGAAATGGTAGGTGGGGAACCTTCCTCAAAGGCCCCAGCACCAGGAGGCAGTTGAATTTGGTCTAATTACTGGTTATCTGTTGTCCCTGGGATCTCCTATAGGCCCTCTTGAGCTTGAACAAATATGTAACACTTCTCCTCTTGTCTTCCTTTTGTTCCTTTTCTCTGATGTTCACCCTTCTGGACTGTGGATCTCAGCCTTTCGCCCCTCCGTATTTATTTTCTCCTCTTCATTCTGGAGGTATTAAATGAATACTGTGGTCTGGGACCTGTGTAAGATACCAGAGTTTGTTGTGGTCCAGTTGTGCCTGACTCTTCATGACCCCATTTGGAGTTTTCTTGGCAGAGATACTAGAGCAGTCTGCCATTTCTTTGCCTAGTTCATTTTTGTGATGAGAAAACTGAGGTAAACAGGGTTAAGTGACTTGCCCAGGATCCCACAGCTAGTAAGTATTTGAGGCCAGATTTGAACTCCTGTCTTCCTGACTCCAGGGCAGGCACTCTATCCACTGTGCCACCTCGCTGCCCCGACTAGAGCTTAAGGTACTAAAATAAATGCATTCCTGCCCCGAAGAAGCCAACACTATCTTCTTTATATCTCCCTCTTCATGTATTCCATTCTTTCTGTCTTCAGATGTAGCTAGGGCTGGCTGGTACTTTAAAGAAACAAGTTTTGTTTACCTCCTTTCCCCCCAACACTCACACACTTGCTGTTAGACTCCCACTTTCCTCCGCACCTCAAGCATCTGTGATCTCCGTTTGGTCGTTAGTTACCCAGCATTTGGTTGGAGAAGCCTGCGTTGAGAGCAGACCCACCATTCCAAGGCAGCCTGTTCATATCTGAGGCAGCTCCTTTTGTTAGGAAGTCTGTCTTCCCATTGAGCCTGAGTTACTTCATTTGCGACCGTGACATCTTCTTTGGGGCCAAATTAAGTGGGTCTCTTCTACATGATAACAGCTGTCATGGCCTGTGGAGTCTCCTCCTGACTCACCTTTCCCTTCTTTCGAGCTGCCATCATAGGGCATGATCTTCAGGCCCTCTTCTGGATGTTTGGCAGTGCATCAGAATCAACAAGAACAAAACAGAACTGTCCTGCTTGGAGCTTATGTGCCATTCCTCTGACGCTCTGTCAGAAGCATTTCCACACCACTTTCATCCCTTGCTCCATAAAGTTCATCCACCACCAAGCCCATCTCACTGTGCCCTTTGGACCTTCCCCCCTGCCCCCCAACTCAGTCGTCTTAACTTCCACCATCCACAGATTTTACAGAACTTGTTCCTTATGCCTCCTCACCTAAAGCAGACAACATGGCGTTCCTCCCAGTCCTCTGTCTAGAGAGCCACGGCTCTTTGACCACAGCCTGACCCACAGGGCCAGCTCATCACTGCCACCCTCAGCCCCTTCCTCTGTCACCAGCATTCAGTGGCACAGCCTTTCTCAAGGTCTATTCAGTGTGTGCCCCGCTCCTGTCCTTGTTCCAGAGGTTGAGGACCCAGCTCGTAGTCTTCCTATCTTCTTTGGAGATGACGTAGTTGTGCAGATGCCTTCTTGGCAGTAGGCACCCTCATTTCATCAGCCTCCTTAGTTGCCATCCCAGTGTCCGGCCACAGATGTGTATGCACACACACCAAGCCCGCTCTGGGCCCTTATTTAGCCTTTGAAGCTGTTGACCAATTCCTGTGCTCTCAGTCTGACTCTGCCACCCTGGCTTTGCCTCCCTCCATAACTAGTCATGACCCCAAAGAGGTCGTGTACGTGATCGGGGCTGAGGGTCAAGCAAAGATGAGAGTCAAGATGGACTACTGACCTGCTGGACCATGGCCTTGCCCGCCAGCCCACCCCTGAGCCCTCAGGGTGTGCTGTCTTGAGCAGCTTCCAGCCCCAACCTTCTGTCCTCCTCACCTCTCTCCTCAGGCGTGAGGTCTAAGGCCTCCATGGTCACCTGGGCTCAGGGCTTCCTTGCTGACGTCCTGGCTTCCGCATCCAATAGGGTTGGCATCACTGGAGCATCAGCATTTCCCTGCCCCCTGCTTCTCATCCCCCTGGGCCCTGGAGCTTCAGGGGAAGGTGTGCCAGCTCACATTCTACCATCTGCATGAGGCTTCTGATTAAAGTATTACAGTATATGTGTGATTAGTTGTAAGGATCAGTAAATAGTGGGAATTTCCATTGGAGATTAATATGTTGAAACAAAATTTAGCAGTAAAATTTTTTAAATAAAATAATTTTAAAATCCAAAATTGATACAGGTGCTTCTGTATTTTGATTTAAATTTAATAAATATTGAAGAGTAAAGGGAAAAAGTATAGAGCCAAAGGGCATAATCCCAGGTTAATAATCCATTATTCACTAGCCTTTGAGAATTAAACAGTTCAGCCAGTTACAAAGTTACAGGCTGTCCAACTATTGACCAATTAATATTTCTTCAGCATGTTCATGGAGGAATCTTTTTTAAATTGATGTTTTTAATAGAGGAGCTAAGTGTAAAACCTGTGTGTCACCTGACTGTAGTTTCTAGGGTTAGCTCATTTTTCCTTTCTGATAAATAGGTCGTCTGACTCCAGAGCTGGTGTTCTTGATTAGGCAAACAGTCTAGAACATGACCAGACAGCAGCTTCTTTTCTTGTCACACAAAGAAATATAGATGTTCATACTTATTTGTTTATTTCAGATTCTGTTATTTGGAAGACCAGATTTGAAACAAAGGAGTCAGCTTCAAAGCAGGGCATTTCTGTAAGAGAATTGTCCAAGGAGAGATGTTCAGAAAATGCCATCTGGGATTCCAGGTTACCAGAAGATTGGGATTCTGGGGTCACTTTGGAGAGGCAAAATCAGGAGAGATGGTCTCAACAAGTTTTGGTCAGTCAAAGAATAATTTCTAATGAGTTGAGTGTTCCTGAATGTAACACTTCTTTGAGAAGCTTCACTGTAGGGTCAATTCTTGTTCCAAAACAGAATGCTACTATAGGAGAAGAGCAAAGTCAGTCTGATACCATTGGAAAGACCTTCATACAGTCCTCAGAAGTTATTAAGCATAATAAGATTGCCTTAGGGAAGAAACTTTGTAAGTTTAAATCTAAGAAGCCTCTCAATTATCATTCAGACCTCTTTCAGTATCGGAGAATACACCCTGGAGAGAAACACCTTAAATGTAGTCATTGTGGGAAAGCCTTTGGGAGCAGATCATGCCTTATTGCACATCAGAGAATTCATACTGGAGAGAAGCCCTTTGAATGTACTGAATGTGGGAAAGCCTACAGGCGTAAGGCACATCTTACTCAACACCAAAGAATCCATACTGGAGAGAAACCTTACAAGTGTAATGACTGTGGAAAAGCTTTCAGCATTGATTCATACCTCATTAAACACCAGAGAATCCATACCGGAGAGAAGCCCTATAAATGTAGTCAGTGTGGGAAAGTCTTTAGCCAGAAAGGTCACCTTAATCAACACCAGAGGATTCATACTGGAGAGAAACCCTATGAATGCAACGAATGTGGGAAAACCTTTGGTCAGTCTAGACACCTTAGTGAACATAAGCGCACTCATAGTAAAGAGAAACCCTTTGAATGTAATGAATGTGGGAAACTCTTTAGACAGCTGAGAAACCTTAGTGAACATCAGAGGATTCACACTGGAGAAAAACCCTATAAATGTAATGAATGTGGGAAGGCCTTCAGCAACAATTATGTCCTTATTCAGCATGAAAGAATTCATACAGGAGAGAAACCCTATACATGTAATGAATGTGGAAAGGCCTTCAGTCGTGGGACATACCTTATGAAACATAAGAGAATTCACACCGGAGAGATACCATATAAATGTAATGATTGTGGGAAAGAATTCACTGACAAAGCATCTTTTATTTACCACCAGAGAATTCATACTGGAGAAAAGCTCCACAAGTGTATTGAATGTGGGAAAACTTTCAGCCAGAAAGGAAGCCTCAAAATGCATAAGATGATTCATACTGGAGAGAAACCATTTGAATGTCATGAATGTGGGAAAACTTTCAGAAATGGGGGTCACCTGAGTGTACATAAGAGAATTCATACTGGAGAGAAACCATTTGTGTGCAGTGAATGTGGGAAAGCCTTCAGAGATAGTGGAGGCCTTAGTGCTCATCAGGAAAAACATGGAGAGAAACGTTACACATGTACTGACTGTGGAAAAACCTTCAGAAATAAGGGATACTTCCGTGTACATCAGAAAACGCATACTCAGGAGAGGCACTATGATTGTGATGAATGTGGGAAACACTTCAATCTGAGGGGATCCTTTATTATTCATCAGAGAGTCCACACTGGAGAGAAGCCCTATAAATGTAACATATGTGGGAAAGCTTTTAGTTACAATACATCCTACAGTAAACATCTGAGAACTCACACAGGAGAGAAGCCCTATAAATGTAACGAATGTGGAAAAGCTTTTACTCAGAGGGACTACCTCATCGAACATGAGAGAATTCATACTGGAGAGAAACCTTTCAAATGTAATGAATGCGGAAGGGCCTTCAGGCAGAAGCAAACATACAATGCACATAAGAAAATTCATACTAGAGAGAAGCCCTTTAAATATAATTAATGTGGGAAAGCTTTCAGCTAGAGGGAACATATTATAGAAAATCAGTGACTTTTATACCAGTGAGAATCCCCATAAATACAATGATTTGAGAAGGTAACCGTCATAAACCATAGAGAAAGCTAATTCAGAAAATACACACTTGAGAAAAGCCTTATGAACATAATGAACATGGGCCAGATTTTAGGTGTGTATTTCATTTGTTAGATAATTCATGCAGGTTAACTGTGGCTTTAATAATTTGGGGAATACTTAAGATAATCTGGTCACCTTAAGAATCAAAAATGTTACGTTTTTTCCCAAGGTACGCTATTTGGGGATTTGAGACAGAAAAGTAGCTATAATAAAATATAAAACTTTCATGTCCCTTTCTGCTGGAATACACATTTTTAACTGACATTATCTAGCAGTTCAATTGCATAAGAGCAGGTTTTGAAAGAACACATATACCACAAGACCACAATTTTAGAAAACCCACTAAAATATTAGCAAAAAGGAGAAAACTTGGTAGCTTAGAGCAAAGAAACAAAACACGACAGATAAATGACGGTAAGGTGACTTTCCTGCCCATAGCAGGAGGATGCGTAATGGTGAGAGTACCCGTCTTCATGTTTGTCTTATGTTTACATTAATCATTCTCGGGCCCAGATGGGTCCACTTTACATGTGCTTTGTTGCCCTGGCCAGTAGCCTGAAAAGAATGATAGAATGTTAGAACTGGAAGATAACTTGAAGATTACCTGGTTTAACTACCTCTGGTACTGAAAGATGGGACATAGAGCACAAGAAGAGGTATTTTGGTTCTTCCTCCAGCTGCGAGGGAAAGTGAAGTTTCCAGCAAAGGCAGGTGAGACTCACTGGTGGTGAGTGGCTGGCTGTCAGTTATTTGGCAGTCTAGCAACCCTACATTCCTTCCCTGCACGTGCACACCTCAGCTTCACTTTTGATACCTTTGGAACAACATACAAGTTCTGGGAAAGGTGAGATTTGACAGAGAAGAAAATCTAGGTATAATTCTTTTGTGTATTCTTTGTGTAATTTGTTTTTGTGTTTCATGCCATGTTATATTGATGCTGGCAAGGGATCTGAAGACCCCTAGATTAGAACCAGATGAGCCAAAGTGTTGTGTTCCCAAGGTAAACCCCGGGGTGAGACAGGAGCCAACATTACACAAACATTCCTTATTTCAGGTATAACTTCTTTTCAGGGTCCTGGGTCCAAACTTTGACCTGCTGGATGGTTCCATAATTCATATAACAGAATCTCATTAATTTGATCAGGGTACAGATTCTGTGGGTTACCATTGATATGCTCAGCTAACTTGCATCCTTTCAGAAAATCCCACATGGGAACCCTCACCAAATATGTCATTGAAATAACCTTTCAAGATCACAGTCCATAGAAGACAGTGAGGCCATGTGTTGCATCATAAATATAGAGCAGTGTTTGCTCTAGGATATCCTTAGCTGGAGTAGAAAGTTCCAGTTTAGATTAGATGCCCAAATGACACGAATATCACTGGGTTACCTCAACTGTCAGAGGAAAGGAGCCCTGTGTCATTTGCTCTGCCCTTTTACACAGTGGGATAGAAGCCTGTACTCATTTTGTGAGCATGTGTTCATTCACATTCACTAAAGACTATTCACTAAACATTACTGAACAATAGTTACTTCCCAGGCAGCCCATTGAGGTCATCAAGATGGGAGAAGAGGTTAAGGCTCAGTACCCTAGCTAGTCTATGTAATCTAGTTAATCCTCCCTTTCAGTTTAGCCAGTAAAGATGCTGCATCCCCAACCCCTCCCTCCATTCCTCCAAATCACATTGGTAACCAGAAACAACAAGGGGGCATGTAAGAAGCGAGGATCTGTCTCCAAGCAGTACTAGTAGAGAGTGCCTCAGGCAGGTGTCTAGGTAACGGTCTGTGGGATAGTGAGGTTCACCAAGCGTTTCAAGCAGTCAGTCCTGAAGCTTTCCCTTTTTCCCAGAGTTGAATATGGGCCTACTGCTATGAATCATTGACATCGCTGACATCTCACAGTTCAAGCTCCTGTCACTTCTTGTCTAGATTATTACAATAGCGTCCTAATCAGTCTTGCTACCTGAAGGCTCTCCACGTTCTATGCCATCCTCCACACAGTTATCAAAATTATTTTCCTCAAACACCAATCTGTTACTCTTCTCAAATTCCACTGACTCCCTGTTGCCTTGGATAAAATAAACGCTAGCTTTAAAAACCTTTTACAACCTGGCCCCAACCTGTCTCCCCAGTCTTGCTCTCTCTCCCATTGCAAATTGCAATCCAGGCAAATTGGCCTCTCTGTTCTTCACATGTGACATAACACTCCATCTTGTATTTATTTGTTCTGTATATATTTATATATGTGCTTGTCTCATTAGAATGTGACCTCTTTAAGAGTGGGCGTTGCTTCATGATTTTGTATTTATTTGTATTCCTGCCTAGAACAGGGCCTGGCATGTGGTAGATGTGTAAATGCTTATTGATTGATGGATCTCCCATTCTCTTCCAGGTCCTAGTCCAGAAATATGGTATGGATCATTGGCCCAGTCTGATCAGTTGGGCTGGGCTGAAGGACCAGGCCCTTTCTCTCTGTGGTATAACATTTCTCCTCCCTTGTAATTTGGGAGTATTGAGACACAGTGGTTGAGCGATTCTGCAGGCCTCCCCACCCCCAGCAACTCAAGTGTCCCGTATTTCTAAATCCTACATGATCATAATCTGATAGAAAAGCGGTGTGCTATCATTGCATGAGCTGTGAGTTTACAGTAAGAAAAGACCTGAGCTTAAATTACAGGTTCTCACATTGACTAGGTTTATGATCTTAAAAAGTACACTTAATCTCTTCTGTGTTTATTAGTTAGTGTTTTCTTTAGTTTATTTCTGGAGTTTATGGTAGACTAGAGGAAATCTTGGCTTAGTCTGCTAGTCTGACATGTGCCCTGGATTTCGATTGGAAATTGGAAAAAGCAGATTATAAAGGGGCAGTAGGATCCTAAGGGATTAGAAATGTTCAAAAACGAAATTCTGAAGACACAAAGGAAAACCATTCCAATGAGGAGGAAAAATGAGAGACTTAAGTGAATGCGTAGAATCCTTACCAACTAATTTTTTTAAAAGACCAGTGTAAAGAAGATTGTAACATAGGTATTAGGATTAACAAAAGCCTGGATTTATTAAAATGTATATTTGCAGGAATGCTAAAAGCTCTGAATGAGCTGTGGGTGATAAGGGAAGTCAAGGACAACCAAAAAAGGTTCTTTTAGTTACATTAGGAGTAAGAGGAGGATGGAAATATGGATGTGTTTGCTTGCAACGTGATAACGGACCGCAGAGCATGGCCGCTCTGTTCTCATTTTGCATTTTCTTATCCAAAGAGAATGAACTTTGCAGGGGAAATGACTACTCTATTGATACTTGGGCTTGGTAAGAGGATAGTAAGGTAGCACCTAGTTGTCCTTGATGGAGTCAGCCCTTCTGGCCCAGATGGAAGCAGTAACATGAGATTAGGAAAGGGTAAAGGACCTGATTTTCAAAAAGGGAGAGAACAGTCTGCAAACTTATGCCATATCATCTCGTTTCCCTTTTTTTTAACAATGTTGTTAAGCTAGTAGATGACGATAATGCTGAGAATATAATTTACCTGGGGTTTTAGCAAAACATTTGACCAAAGTGTCTTGTACTATTCTCAGGAAGGAGCTGGAACTGTGGGTTAGATGACCATACCATTATCAGCGAATGTCATCAATGCCTTGGATAGTGGTGGCCTGTTCACCAGAGGATGCAGAGCTGGTGAAGAGGCAAGCAGTGGGTGACAGGACATGAAAGGATCTGGACTTAAGTTGGATTTCGGTAGGGATAAATGTAAAGTCATACACATTTATAATGGCCTGTGAGCTCAATGGGAGTCAACAATGTGGTATGGCAGTCAGAAACCAAATGTGTCTTCAGCTGTATTGAAAGGCTTCACTCCCAGGAATAGGGAAGTTTTAGTCCTGCTATGTTTTGCTCATTAATAAACCTGGAGAGCATCTAGAAGAGGGCAGCCAGGGTGGTGAAGGGCCCTAGGGTCTGTGTCATGTGAGGTCCAGTGGAAGGAATGAGGCATGTGAGCCTGGGCAAGAGAAGACTCAAAAGGGGGCATTAAAACTAGTCACTGTGTTCTGCTGCTGCTTTATGCTAGTTGCTTAGATTATTAATTAAAAATTCATTAAAATTGTTCGGTAACTTTTTTTGGCCAGCGTTATTTATCTAATTTCAGAATCAAGCCAGCCTTTGCCTTAAAGAGCTAGACACCTCACCATCTCTTCTCTGTAGTTAGCAAATCCTGTCTATTGCTGGGTCTGCTTACTTGTTGAAGATCATGCAAGAACCTACTTAACCCTGCTTTTATTGTTTGGTTTTTGGGGTTTTTTTGGTAATCAATTCATTGACTCATCTACCCTGTTTCTTCCCTTGGAATGAATGGGTTTGATCAAGTCACCTTCTCAGTTTGGCCACTTGGACTGTGGGAAATCCTTCATTTAACTCTTTCCTGGGTCATGAGCAGAGAACCATACTGGTTGTTGAACCTTCTCTTATCTTGGTTGTGTCTCCCCTTTCTCAGCCTAAGTTTGGCTGCTCTGTGATTTGTCTTTGTTAAAATTAAACTGAAAAATAAAGGTGTTACTCTGGTTGCAAATTTGTTTTCTGTTTTGTCTTTTGATTTATTGTTTTATTCCTTACATGAGGTCTTCAGACACAGATTTAACTAGAGAGGAAAATGCAATGAATTAATTTCCCTTTATAAACTTGGTTGCAGTACCAAGGTTAACTTTACCTCAGAGGTTTTCATGGGGCCAGAGTTTGAGTACTTTAGAACCTCCATTTTAAGGAAACTTTCCAGACCGGCTACTGACGGTCTTCTTTCTTCACCAGCCTCCGCTCCTGGTTCTTGGCATTTTCTCCATCGTGCAACAGCCTTCTCACCCTGGAAGTGTCCTTGGCCCTTACGCACCCCCTTCTGACTTTGGTTCCTCCCAGAAACTCCATTTTAAGGAAAGTGCCCACACCAGCTGTGTCTTCATAGGCCTGCCTTCAGATTCCCCACACCATTCCTTCTGTCCACACTCCTCCTCACTACCTTTCAGCTTCTTTTTATGTGTATTATCGCCCCATTGGAATGTAAGACCCTTGAGGGACTTACTTTGTATTTGCATTCCTACTGCTTAGCAGCAAGCTTGGCACATAGAAAACCCTTAATATATGCTTGATCACTTGACTATGGCTACCGGAATCTACCTTTGAGGCTGTCTAATTCAAACTCTTCTATTTGTGAAGGAGGAAACAGGCCAGAGAAGAGAAGTGATTTGCCCTAGGTCACAGAATAAGTGGCAGAGCTAAGATTCAAACCCACATCCTGAGACCAAAGCCAGTGATCCTTTCACCATATCATGCTGCAGTATTGGTAGGTAATGGTTTACATTTTATTAACAGCTAGCTGTTTGCTGTTCTTTACCTTAACTGTTTACTTTTTAGGCCTCTCTGGACTTTTTTTTAAAAATGGTGTTCTGGGGGCTTTTTTCTATTTTGTTACCTCATTGTTTGGGAAGATGTAGCATGTAATATTTCCACATTTCTGTCTTTGCTAAAAGCTTTGTGTCAAAGCATATGTCTTTAGGACTTCCAGTGAAGATAGCTGCCTGAAGGGGAATCATGTTTCCCAGGTTCCCACATACCTGATCCAGCAAAAAAACTGAAATTTGAAGCAGACTGAATGTTGATCAAGAAATACAATGAGAACTCAGATTCTTATAATCTAGCCAATGCTTAGATTCTTAAAATCTAGCCACAGGCTCAGATTCTTAAAATCTAACCGCAAGCTCAGAGTCTTATAATCTAGCCACTGCTCAGATTCTTAAGATTCTGGCCTGCTTGCATTAGCAATACAAATGCTTAGGTTCCTTAAGAGTCTGGCCAATATGGCAGATGTTCTAATAAGCCTTGTCTTTAGCTGAAAGAAGGCTTGGGTTAAATTCATTTGGACAGGACCCATGTGTTGTGATTGTGGGGGTCCCAGCACCTCAGAACTCCTAAACGTCAACATTTTAGTGGCCCATATAGGGAAGCTGCCTAACCCCAAATTTTTCTCCAGCCAAGACTGGAAGGTACATAAGCCCCACCCCCTTCTTTCTTGCCCTGCAGTTGGGGTCGCTCTTCAAGTATCTAGGAAGGTCAACCTCTTTAGGACCCCCTTGAGGCAGGGACAGCTCTATGGCCCTTGCCAGCTGGAAGCAGTTTCAGAAGCCAAGACCTTTGTCCCTTACCCCAAAAGAATTTGGGTCCCATTTGCTTGAGGGGGGAATGATGGGGATGGGATCTGGACCCCAAAAAGGAAAAACCCTGGACCTTCCCACCTAGCCAAATCTGTAGGGTTCACCTGAGGCTGTAATCCTATCAACGGAACTTTCATTGTGGCTAAACCAAATCTCCCAGTTCTGTTCTTTTACCTCCCGATTGCCCCTGGCCCCTTCCCACCCTTAATCCTACCTAGACTCCATTCTCCCTTGGCCAGGTGGTCCCTGGTGTTCTGTTCACCCAGTGCACTGGCCCCTCCCATCCAGATTCTCCTTAGACCCCTCCTCCAGTCACCCCAAACTACTTGGCCACTCCTAGATCCCTCCCATCGTCTTTCTCTATATAAGGTCCATTTTGTCTCCATTAAGGTGCCCAGATTCTTATAATCTAGCCTAGTGCTCAGACTCTTATAATCTAGCCAATGGCTCACTAATGTTCAGATTCCTTAAGAGTCTGGCCAATCTGGTGGATGTTCTAATAAACCTTTTCTTTGGCTAAAAAAAAAAAGAAAGAAAAGAAATACAATGAGAAACAATAATGATGTCTTCCCCCACAAGTCTGCCCAGAAAGTCATCCAGAAGGCCATGAGCAGTAGCAAAAAGCCGCCAGCAGAGTCAGTGCCTGCCCAGGCACACAAGTCCATTGTGGCCACTGCAGCCCCCTGGCCTGAGACTCTTCCTGCCTTCCCGGTTCTGTGTCCGGAAGCAGCAAGGACAGGGTCAGTCAGCGAGTTCACTAGGTTGACTAAGCCCTTCCTCCGTGCCGTTCACTGTGCTACACTCAGAATAGAAACAAAGGCAAAAACAGAATTCTTGCTTTGAAGGTGGAGGAAGCATGCAAAAAAAAAGTATAAATACAAGATAAGTAGTTTATGCACCTCTAGCGTTATTTTGTATGGGCTTTATTCCATCTTTGCAGAATGGGGTCTGCCTCCCTCTTGACGCCATGATCCTTTTCCCCAGTTGTACTTGGCCCTAGGGATCACCAAAATTTATTGACAACAATGGAAGCCATTTTACAACTTGTTCAGTCTTTTAAGTCGTGTCCAACTCTACATGACCCCATTTGGGGTTTTCTTGGCAGAGATACTGGAGTGGTTTGCCATTTCCTTCTCTAGCTCATTTTACAGATGAGGAAACTGGGGTAAAACTGGGTTAAGTGACTTGCCCATGGTCACACAGCTAGTAAGTGTGTGGGGCCACATTTGAACTCAGGAAGATGAGTCTTCCTGACTCCAGGCCTGGCACTATCCACTGTGCCACCTAGCTGCCCCGTTTCCTACTACTGGCTTATTAATTGTTCATGCTCCTTAAATCTCAGGTGACCTTAGCAACTGGGTTAAAGAGTTTCCTCGTATTAGAAGGAAATCTTCAGAAACTTAGGAAAGAATTGACTGAGTATCATCAATTTTCATAATCCTGCTTGGGCAAATAGGAACTGGCTTCTGCAGACTCATTGCCCACTGAGATCTGGCAGTGACTTAGAGATGAGGTGCAGGGTCCTGTTTCCAACCCAGGGAAAAGTCAGAACCTTATTCAATTGTGGCAGAAATTGGTTACTGCTATTTCCATTATCTGTCCCAGAAACACAGGTGGGAGGGGGGAGGATCAATAATTGTACGCAGGATAAAGACAAACACCCCAGGAATGATTGAGACCACGTGAGAAATTTTTTCAAAACCCCTCGAGTAATTGGTGCCCCAGTTAGCAGTGCTAGAAATCCTCTTGCCATATAACTTAAAGATTTCTGTCAGCTTTGGTATGGGCAGTGGACCCCCTGCCTTGTGTATCCTGCTGGAGTGGAATCAGCAGCAGGTGCTTTGCCATACAACAGGAGCCTGATGGCATGCACCTAGAACTTCAGCTAGGGAGGGATTGAGTTCCACCGGAACTAAGCTTCTGTCTGTAGCTTCAGCATTGGTTGATGTTGGCCTTTGAGAACACAATGGAAGTGTTCAACCTGTCTCTCCAGAATCCTTATCACTGACAGTGTGGCTCCGGGGTGGCCTTCAGGGCATCATAAAAACCCTTGGGAGTGTTACTGTCAGTATAAAACTGCATTTCATCTGCCTTCTAACTGAGCCAAGAGTCCTGCATCCCTCTAAGCTTTGGTTGCGCTTTACTTCCGATGGAGTTAAACATGGCCTTCTTAGAGACACATAAACTATCCTGCTGTTAGACCATGTGGAGTTAGTTCTTGCTTTTCATTTAATAGCTTCCCAATTTCCCCATCATTTTCATCAAACCACTTTTGCTATTTATGAGTATCCTGGCCTAGATGAGTAAATGCAGTGCTGTACACCAGCTCTCTGAAAGCTGCCCACTCCTTTTCTGCTCCACTGTGGCCAGCCTGTGGTGGCTCAGCTTTCCCTCCAAGTTAGCAACAAACTGTTGGCACTCAGAGAAGAGCTCTAATGTGTTCACGTTAATGCTTCTGGTGGTCATTTTGCCTTGGGGCTGCTGCGTTTGTTGAATGTGAATGTTTAGCTTGGAAAGGATAAGTGCTCCACGCATCACCTTTGTCACTCTCACATCCTGTCTCTTCTCCTTATAATAACATAGTCTATTAAATGCTAAAGTTCACTTATCTTGGCACTATGCTTTCCAGGTATGTACACCTAGGTGAGGCTGAGACACACTGCCAGAGCTAGCTCAGTGTTTGTGAGGCTCCAAAAGAATGTGTGGGAGAGAAGAGTAGGTGGCCAGCCAAACTGAAGGTCTCAGAGCTGTTGTGCTGACTTCGTTTTTTATGCCTGGGAGACCTGGACAGTATTACCAGTGCCATGCCAGAAAGTTGAAGCTCTTCCATTTGAATTGTCTTAGGAAGATTCTGAAGATCACCTGGCAAGAAAAGGTACCAAATACTGAGGTGCCTTCTTGAGATGAACAAATAGGTTTACTAGTTATTCACTATTTGTAATGGTCTTTTGTATAAATAGCAGGAGTCAGGTCTTTCCGCATAAGCTTGTAGTGCCCACCCCTTTAAGCAACTATGGAAGTAGTGGGCTTTGCTGCTTCAGCTAAGGTTCCACCTTCTACAGAAGGCCTTTCCTGGTGCCCCTCAATGCTAGTGACATTCTGTGATTACCTCCAGTTTACCCTACATATACTTTTGCATGTTGTCTGCATCATTAGAATAGAGCTCCTTAAGGGCAGGAAGTCTTTATGCCTAGTTTTCCTTGGTCTTTAAGTAATAGTACCCTATATAATGTATCATTGCAGCTATGTAGACAGGGAAGACAACACCAACAGTGCCCAAGGTGAAATACGTTCTCCTGAACTTAAGGGCTCACTCGCTAGGAAGGGTTCACTTATAAGATCCTACTCCATATTTGATAAGATCACA